CTCCTTCCATATACTTGCACCATGTTAATCTTGGCCGTCCGCTTGGCCTTCGACTGGTCAGCTGAGCAAAAAATACTTGTTTATTCTTCCCTTCCGAAGGCATTCGCAACACGTGCCGAAATCATCCCATCTATGACCTCCCAGTCAATAGAAGCAGCGTCTGCACACCAAGGCTGTCGCAAATGCTTGTATTACCGATCATATCCAGATGGGTAAGACATGAGACGCCTCAGAAAGCCCATTTCAGCCGCTTGTATTCAGGGTCACAGATTTTCAGTCATGATCCATGACTCATGACTGTAGGTAAGCATGGGGATGATGATCGACTTAAATACCGAGAGCTTAATCTTCAGACTCAGCTCCGCTTTAGTCACAATCGTACGGACTAATTCACGGAGAACGCCACTGGTTACGCCAATTCGCCAATCTGTCTCTTCCTCAAATTTTTCATCACCGGTAAACACCACCACTAGGTACTTGAACCTCTCTATCTCCTCCAGTAAATCGTTAATCTGAAAGTAGCAACGGACAGGAGAACGAGAAAGCACTAGGCTTTTCGTTTTAGATGCGTTCACACGCATGCCGGTCGCGTCGCATTCAGCTGCGAACCTTTAAAGGGAGCAATGAAGATCACTCCTAATAAAACAAGGTCGTCTGCAAACAGAAACCTTTTCGTCTTCGCATCTCCTTCACCGTTACACTCATCGTCTTGGCTGTTCTTGACTATTCTATCCATGTACAACACAAACAGGAGAGGGGACAGGACGCAGCATTGGCGGAGACCAAAGAAACGCTGTAAGGCTTCGATTTAACGCCATTTTCCCTGACGCAGCACCTGCTATCATAATACAGTGACTGGATTGTCCGCTGCAACTGGTCATCAATCCCACATGTGCGCACTGTCAGAAACTACCGGGATAAAGTTTTGCGCGGGATCACGCCAGCAGATTTCTCTACGTAAAAAAGACACATACTGGATGGGCGAAAAGAATTTCTCAACAATGCGCGAGGGGTGAATACCTTATAACATATGAATCGACTGGACCTGAAGCCACACTGCTGTTTTTCTATCTTGGAGTCAGTTACTCCACGGCCTCTCCTTACTAGCACTTTTGCATAGACTTTACCCGGGGGGCTCAGAAAGGTAATGCCACGATCATTGAACCATTTCCTATGGTCACCGTTCTTGAACAAGGGCACTACAAACACCGTTCCTCAGTCCGTTGATGCCTTCTTCGTGGCCCCTGCAGCTTGACAGACATGTTAATCTAGCACATGCATTGTGTGCCTAATGCTTTGAGCATTTCAGAGCGGATTGCATCAATTCCAGCTGCTCATCCACATTTCAAGCTTTTGACAGCTTTTGTCATTTTGTCTACAGAAATAGTCACATCTGTGCTCTGCGAGTCTTCCTGCAGTTGCTAGCAGTTAAAAAGGTTTGTCAAATAATCTTCTTCATAATTGAGGAATGCCTTTATCTTCGGTATGATGGTGTCCAGATCTGTCTTTCAACACTCTTAGACTACTATTCTTTTTACCTCAGAGCCGGTGGATAATCTCCCAGAAAACTGTGTTTGCCGTCCAAAAGTTCCACTCCGAACTTTTCCCAGCAACCAGATTTGGCTATCGCCACTGCATTTGTAGCCGGCTTACGCACTCTATATACGGAATGCAAGTTGATGGCTCTGCGTCTGAGCGATTTCTTGAATGCAGCCCTCGTGTAACTCACAGCCCGTGTAGTTCTCATGTCCACCAGGATGTTTCTTTTTGACCTCCAGGCGGCAGATCATGCCATTTGAAACCGCAGGATTCGGCGGAATCCTCGAGCAAGCCGCTCTTAAAGAGTTTCCTCTCTGTTTACACATCATCAGGAACTGTTCGAGCCTCGTGCGATGTTGTTTGCAAAATTCAGCCTCGTATCCACGGAAGCCAATGTGTTCCACTTGATTCTTTGGTTGCTTCTGCCACAAGGTTTTCGCATGGTACAGCGATTTCTCACAGCGTAGCATCCCAGTAGAAAGATGGTGCTAGGTTGACAGCTCAGCGCCTCTCTTAGCACGAACATCCATTACCGAGCGTCTTAAGTCACACGATATGATTATCAAATCGATCATCGACTTCTGCGCACAATCCTTCCTGTACCAGGTAAACTGATACAAGCTTCGATGCTCGAAAAAGGTGTACATAAATAGACAGTGCGTTGTTTGCACAAAACCGTAGACAACTTCATGTCGTCATTGTTGAGGTCGCTAGGCCGTTTTTTTTCAATCATACCGTTCCACTTTTCAGCGTCTACTCCGACATGCGCATTAAAATCGCCCATGAGTATGACGGGCTCTGTATTCGGCACTTCGGTCAGAGCCAACTGCACTTCCTCAAGGAAGGTCTCATATTCTCCCTCCAAATTAGGCGGGCGCGTAGACCTGCAACAAGGTCAACGCTTTAGTCTGTTGTAGCTTCAGTCGTACAATTACCACCCTTTCGCTGACAGGCTTCCAGCCAATGATTCTATGTGCGAGGCTGGGTTCTATCAGAACACCAATATCCTCATGAGTGCGCATCGTGATATCGACGCTTGAGTAGAATAGCTTCCATGCACTGAGGTTCAAGAGCCCAAAGCCTTGGCGTTTCGTGGACGAGAGTCCAACAATGTCGAGTGGGTACTTTATGGCCTCATCAACTAACTCTTGTTCTTTCCCTCTGAGTGAAGATATGTTTCAATTTCCGACTATAAGCTCCCACTGTCAGTGTCATTTACGTGGAACCTTTTCTGGCTTGCTATAACGGCATCGCGCTGACTGCCTCCTCAGTTCAAAACGGGTAACGACTGCGTTGCTGACTGGCATTTTATCGTCATTTAGTAGCCCTTCTGCAGCCAGTTTCCTGTTACTATACATGCAGCTGTTATAGAGCGCTAACCATGTTTTGATCACCGACTTTTGTAGCCTGCTTCTGTCTCTCAACGGCTTGCGCGGCCGCTGGTAACTTTGGTGATGACTGAGCCGCTATAGCGTTCGATAACGGCTATATCATATGAGGGAGTTGATTTAGCTTTACAGCGACCTCGCCACAGTCTCAAACCCACCTTCTTTCCTACTTGGGCTTGGAATCGGCAGCGGTGGAGTAAATCAAATATCTGACAGGAGAGCCTCATTTCATTCGAAAGTTCTTTGGAAGAACATTTACTGCCTTAAAAATATTGTGGATTTAAAAATAAAAATTCAGAAAAAGAAAAGAAAGTAGCATTGACAGCTTTCGATACTGCCGCTGAATATATCACATTAAAAATAATCCGCGGTTTTATTCAGGTATCATTACTAATTCAAGTAAAGTTTGAGACGCGGTCGTGCATCCTATGTGAACTGCAGGCGCTTAAATATTGAGCCGTAGCCTACTTAAGTGGTCCACCTAGGCTTCTAGAAGCAAGGATGCGGTGCAGTTAGCTAATGGTGTAAAGTGAAAAACTGATTTTTCTTTCTTTACGCTGTGCATTGGCCGTTTCAATCCGATATCATTATTTTTAATGTGAAAAATAGTTTTACTGACAATGGCCAATTCGAAAAGATGGGGAAAAGGTTAGGCAACGGCAATACCAGCGTAGTCAAGAATGACGTCATACGATGGGATACCAGTAGAGTAGTTTCAAAAATTAGGAAAGTTCGAGAAGTAATTGTAGCGAATACCCGATGATAAGATCGACAGAGAGAAACTTCTGTAAATAACTCATTGCAGTCATCACCTCTGCTACGTCATATTACAATTAAACATTTGATCTTCCTTTCGTAGGGCTGTTCATTTTATAGCTTTTAGTTCGTCTTGCGACACTTCAATTAACCGCTGTTCTACTCTCCGCTGTCACAACCATCCAAACATAGCCATGATGTAGCGTACCATACTAAGTTTGTCACCCAAATGAAGGATAACCTTACAAAAATTGATCCGCCTCAGACGATTTGCTTCCTTTAGATGCAAGGATGCCATGGAAATTACTAAGGTGGTCTCACGCTTCCTGATACCATATTAAATTAATTCGATAATCTAGAAAAAATATTTCTGTTTGAATGAAATGGAATGCCCGGATCTCTCCAAATTTCGTTGGGAGACAATACTTCAAAACCATATCTCTATCGTACGAACGCTGAATATCGTTTTACGAGGGAAAACAGGCCAGGTGTGAGACGGAAAAGGGAGCCAGTAGGAAAGTAGATTAGTAGATTTAGAGTGCGTTAGAGTGCGGGTTCAAACTGAGGGTACTGCGTAAATGGTTTTTATTAACTGATAATTTCCGCCAGCACGGCGCATTAATGTGATCATGCCAAAGCGTGAGAGACACATGACCATGCTCTTTGGTGTATGCGCTTTACCGCTGCAATTCACTTTGATCCGCCTCATAGCGCAACGTGCAAAGGTAAATATAATTCAAATTTAATTTAACGTAAAAGTTAATTTCTTTTCTGAAAAAAGCAGGATTAATTTATCTTGTTCGAATTTACTTTATGGTTGAACCACAGAGCACCATGAATCTGCTCAATATGGGTCCATTTGTTCATCATGTTAAGTTGTAAAAAAGCAAAACCAGCATCATGCAATTACAGATATTCGCTACCCCTAGATTGTAATGTTTCGCAAGGTACTTCCCCATTAAATACAGGTAATTTCAGCGCATTTAAGGCCACTGTAAGTCTTGTAAACACAGCTACTTCGGTACATTCTGATCAATCAGAATATCTTTAGCCTTATCACCAATCATTACATGCTGAACTGCCTGCGGTAAGAGAACAACAGCTCCTTCCTCCTTCAAGGACGAACTACTTTACTGCAATAGGGAAAGGTAGTGGAAGACTTCTAGAAGTAAAAACTTCTGCTGATGATTACAACAACAAGACAGGCTGCCACAAACATGTGTATCCTTGCCAAAGGGGAATGCAGCTAAGTTTCTCATTAGACCCGGGGACGAACAATATCAGAAAAAATATTGGCATACTTTTATCAGTTGACTGTCAGACCATGCGCCGTTCACGGGCAGCAGATGGAACATTTTCCGTTTCATATTCAACTTCCACTCGAGGCTTCGTCAAAGCCTTGCCTTTTACTTTTGTTCTGGACTTAAGAGGCATTTCAATGTAGGTATCCTAAATAAAAATGCTCGTGTTCATGAAAAAGAAACAACAAAATAAATAATCAAACTTTACCTCGATGTCAGATTCTCTATCAGATTCTTCAAAATCCTCAACGAACTCAACTGAGTTCAGACTTGCTGTCTCAGCATCATCTTCATTTTCTGTTTCGATCTCAGTTTCCTTCACCACGTCTTGAATTTCCTCGGACTCCAACGCTTTGTCGAAGACTTTTTGAGGAAAGTTATAGATTTCGCCGTACTAAAAGCTTAAGCTGCATAAAGTTTTCACAGA